TAAGAATTAAGACATAATTAAGAATTAAGAATTAAGACATAATTAAAAAATAAGAATAATAAGACAAATTGAGGAAATATAATTAAATAGCATAATAAAAAAAATTGAATATTACCTCAATTTTGATATTATTAGTCACCAGTAGCCATTTCCTGAAAAAATGATAAAATATAAATTAATATAATATTTATGTATTATTTCAACCAAATAATAATAATCAAAATATAATTGAAATTAAATTATAAATTACATAAATAAAATTTATTTACCAATTACTATCTCCCAACAATGTTTCCTACAAAACAACAATATTAAAAAATATTAGTAGTGTGAATAAATTTATCAATAACTGAAATTTTTGTTTAATCAACAATTAATTAGTTAGAAAAAAAAATGAAAGAGAAAAAGAGCAGAGATTAAGAAGATATAAATCAAAATTAATATAAGTATAATATAATAATAAATATGGTAAATTGAGCAGCAGATTAATGGAAGAAAAATCCGGCCAGGAGCTATCTAGAGGCAAAGTTGGAGAGGAGAAGAAAAAGAAGAAGAAGAAGAATGAAGAAACAAATAAAATGAACGGGTGGTGCAAGTGTATATGTATATATAGAGCCTTTTAGCAATGGCTAGCTCGTCGGTATTCTTATTGCCGATGTGATGCACGTGGGTCAAGCGAAAATTTCGGCGGGAGCAACACATTCCAAAACATTTGTGATCCCGCTTGTTTCTTATCGACTACTTTCTTGTCGATAAATTGGAAATTTCGCGCCACCCCAGAAATCCAAAATTTTGTTTCTTACCGACCAGAACCTTGTCGGTAAATTGAAAATGCCGGCGTCTGTGAGCTGCTTGTTTCTTCCTGCATCTGTTACCGACAAAGACTTGCTAGGAAGTTAAGAGCATGCTGGGGAAGTGAAATGCCTTCAATTTGAATGGCATATTGGCAAGTTAAAAGCAAAACTTGGTCCAACAATGAAGATTGCCAACCCGCTCCTTGTGTGGGTAATTGTGGGTAATTATGAGTAATGCTAAATCCCCTTTAATTACCGGATTTATTTCTTAAATTTATTTAATTTTGTAGAGTTACCTAAATCTGTATAATATATATTTAATTTTGAATTTATTCAATAGGTTTTTTACAATTTGGTCATTTTAGTGTATAATAATTCTAAAAAAATTTTGACAGAGTTTCCCCATATATTTGATCATAACCAATTTTTTTAAACCTGCATTTGCAATGAAAAGCACATATTCTACAAGTTTATCATACTAAAAGTAGTTTTTTCTCTTCAACCACAACCATAAAGTATATCAACCATATGCCATTGTCCTAAATAACTACATGATATTCAATTCATAACAATTAACCCCCAAAATAGTCCAAAAGTTCATACTTCAAGCATGATTACTGGAGATCAAGTAAAATATGAAAAGATATCCTAATAAAAAGTTAAAGCTAGCAGTTAAAAGTACTAATAGAAATAAAGGCAACCATGCAGAGTGTGCAGATAACCATGCAGAGTGTGCAGATAACCATGCAGAGTGTGCAGATAACCATGCAGATAACCAAGCAGAAAACAAAACTAAGGAGCTGAATAGTCTGGATCGAAAACAGGACGGTATACATCATCTTGAGGTGGAAGCTGCTGATGCTGATGTTCAGGCACAATAGGAGAGGTCTGTGTAGAATCAGTAGAGTAGGTGACAGGTGTATTCATGCGAAGACCTGAGCCCTGATTACGTGAAGGTTGTGGTGAGGCAAATGGCTGATGACCTGCCTGGGGAGAGATGCCATAAGCAGCTAGAGCTGCTGCAACAGACTGTGCAATTGTCTGGCTCATATTATTCTGGGCTTCTGTCATATTATTCTGGGCTTGTGTCATCTGGGCCAGCTGTTGTTGCATCATAATAATTTGTTGGCGTTGTCTTTCTAACTCTTCAGTTTGTTTTGACACCACCTCAGTGTGGTGTGCTTGCTCCTCAACAAAGTCAGACATCATCATCG